AAGAGCTTGTTCCTGATTGGGTGGCACATCAGCTTTGCCTCCAGAAACTCCATAACATTCGCATCTTAAAGCTGCAACGGTGATTCAGCAACGACTCGGTGGTTTCTAGTGGATCCTCTGATCACTGGATGCAAACGCCCCAACCCACCCACCAATCAAACGGAAGGCCTCAAACTGATGGGCTTCCAAGACAGACCATGCTGGTCTGCTCTTCATGTTTCGATACCTTAGAAACACTCACAGCATTTTCAGTGTCTTTCGTCTCTTCAGTTGGATCATGAAAAAGACATCCGCTATGCTTCTAAAGCAACAGCCACAAGTATTTGACTTGGGAATTGCTCCTGTAGGTCAACGGTCTTTGCCTATTGACTTGGACATGTTGCCATGAGCTTGCTTTCTTGTTGTTCAATTGGAACTACCATGTGTGCATGGGCCTACCCTACTTTCTTCTTCCACTCACAAAGGCCTAATTTGCACACACGCACACGCACACACACACACATGGCACCTAAATGCCCTTGTATATACAATTCTACAATTACAAATGCAATAGGCCACTGAGGAGGAAGCTTGTTCTCTTTGGATGTAAACTGCACCTGTACCTGACCAGAATATGCCACTTTGTTGGAGTTTACTAGCTGCAAAATTATTGTCCATTTCAAATCCACAAGAACTTTGCACGAAACAGCTCTAACAACCAGCCTCGCGCCAAACCTTCGTCAAGAGCTTTTGGGAGGCCTGCCAAGGAAAACTCTGCTGGCAGGTCTTGGAAGTGGGAAACAAAGTCTAAAGAGTCGAACAACGAAGAGCCAGGCCCATGGCTTGCTTTGTGGTTTTGTGCCCAGAACTTTCAATGCTTCGTTCCATCTTGGTTCCTTCAGCAAGCTTTGGGTTTCGAGAGTGGATCGCTGTGCGTGTGGCTTTGAGCCCCTTGGTCCACTCTGGGGCTGCGATAGTTAGTTCGTCTCATTGCCCAAACGTCGCACACCGCAGACCCTGGCCTGCTTGAGACCCTCACAGGCAGCCATGAAGACCCTGAGAGTGGCCACATCACCACGAGCCGTGGCAAAACCATAGACCCTACGCTTCACCTCTGGATATTCAGGAAGCACATGGAAGCACATCAGTCTTTAATGCTTTGAACAAAAACATATCAGATGATCAGTATATCTTTTCACCACCAAAGAAGACTGGGGCGTTTTGGAGGCTTTTCTTTTGACGCAGCTGAAGAGCTCCATTTCTGGTTCAATCAGGTCAACTGGTTGGAGCTGAGGCAAAGACCCAGGAACTGCCCTCTTAGAGGCTGGAGCCTCGCAGGGGGAGGGATGTCAAGACGTGGCTCCACATGGCTCCACTGCTCCGCCAGCGGTGTTACTGTAGAGTGACCCTTCAATTAGTTCTTGTGTGCAACGCTGTGCATGCATTTGTTTGCATTCTTTCTCGCTATATAAGGGATTTCAGTTGAAAAATGTTGAAAAGGAGTTCGGCACTGGCCGACAAGGATGGTTGCGCCAATCCATCTCTTGAAATTGGAACACCAGTCTTGATCACTTCCGCGAAGACCTGTTTCTTGACACATGCACGTCATGCATGTCCGTTTAATCCAACCAAAACAACAGGTCGTATAGTATTGTGCACCTGGCCTCTTGGTATTACAACTGGAATTCTATATAAGCAGGTTGGAAAGTAGTGCCACTGGAAGAAATGAAACAATCCAAACTCGTGGCCAACCCTCCAACCACGCACAGCAGTTAACTGGAATTCTTAGCACAAGTTCATAACACGGCGCAGTATGGAAAAGCCGATCGTTCGCTCTGATCATCCAATTCTTCCCATATACTCTTTCGACTAGGAATTAACCGTCTTTTTCCACCAGGCCATAGGCGGCCATAGGTTTCCCAGTTCCTATTCTCGTTCCCCATCATGCTCCATGCCACTGGGCCCTTCGCAAGCAACATCCTACATGAATTTCATTTACTCTGCCTTAATGAGGGCACGTGGCTCCCTCCGATCATGTTTTGAAATGTGGTATTGTCTTTTCATTCTGTGGGACTCCTTATCAGTTCTTTCTAGTTCCATGATGATTGGAGGTATACCCCTACCATATACCCCTAGAACGTTACAATATGGCCACTATGCTTCTTGACATGGCAGATTTTGCTCTTCCTCCGTGAAGGATGGTAGCCCTTCACGGTGAAAGGGTGAAAGGGTAAGCGACCTGACCAAATGGACCAAACATTCCGACCTGACCGACCTGTCATGCTGCACGCAACAAAACACATTCATTTCAATATGTGTCAATTGATTTCCTGCTGACCTATAGGGGTACACAATATGCCTCTGATCATGGACCTCGATTCATTTCCAAAGGGATAAGGGTTTGTTCCTTTCTGTGCCATCTGTAAGTCTTTGGATCTCTTCCTTTGGTCTTGGCTTTCTGCGTGGCTTCGATCTTTAACCAACGTCTTCCCCACCTTGGCTGCCGCTGCGGCAAAGATCGCCCGCCAGATCACGCGGGCACCTGGGCGACGGGCACACATGCGACATGCGGGTCATGTTTACATGTTTGGGGCATCTCTAGACTCCATGGGTTCCCCCAACGACACCCGAATCCACCCTGCAACCCTGAGGGACCCACCCAAACAGACCCATCGTGCGACTCGACACCGAAAGAAAGCGTCCGTTTCCATCGGAGCGCGAGGTCGTTCCGTTCGCGCAGACCCGCAGACCAAATTGATTGGCAAAGGGGAGGATCGCCCAACAGCCAACTGCACTTGAACTATAGCAGCTATAGCACAAACATGCTCAAACTTTAGGTTGGGCCCTGAAACTACAAGACTGAGTTCTAACGTTTTCTATCTGAACATCCGGAAATAAGTATTTGGGGCCACCTACGCTTCTGATGAAATACCGGCGCTTCTGATTCTTGAAAATGACCAACTGGGTGAGTCTTCTCCTGCGTCGAGGCTCTTTAAACCTCACAGGATAGATGACTTCATCCTGAAGAGATGAATGCTTGTATCTACTGGAGCGAAAGCAAACTGAGATCCCCACATAGCAGCCCAGCCTGCCACTGAGTTGCTGGCCTGCTTGCAGATCAGAACACCGCATAAGGACAAGGGACTCTGGCTTTGTCTGGTAGGGCATCTTTCAATAGTGAATTGAACACAGCTGACATACCTGGTGGGAAACCCAACAATCCAAAGGCCGACAAACATGCTCTACGACTCTACACCATCCTTCTACTTCCCTCTTTTATACATCTTTAGATCATCACGATGGCCGTTGAAAAGAACCTACCTCCATCCTCTGTCATCCTCCACGACCCACAAAGGCGGCCTTCCGGAGAGGGGGCCACGAAGGCTGTGCTCATTGGTGACCTCTTGTCGCACCTGAGCTTGGTTGAGCTCGGCCACATCTGAAGGCCACGAGCGTGTAAGTGCTGTTGCTGAAAGCATCGCCCCATTGCTACCCCCAGCACCATACAGACGTATTGCGTGCTCTCAAGCTCTTATCCTACACTAAGCATGACTAAGTGTCAGCTGGCTGAACACAGCACAGGCTTCCAAACCGCAAGGATGCCTGTGATTATACATACTATCAGCTCTCAAATATGTTTGAATACTCTGCAATGCTTGATCGTGCTACATATCACATATCCCAGTAAAACATTGGTCATTCCACTACAGGAATGCTGTGCGCGCTCTTCAACGTCCAGCCTTCATGCAAATGACGTGGCAGCAGTTGGCCAAGTGCTCTTGCAAATCTGGCCTCACTGCTCACTCATGATCACAATATCCTACTATCATGCCTACCTTTTAAGACCTTTGCTGCTGGACCAGTGGGCCACGGATATTCGGGTAATGCACAAGCTATGGACAACTCCGATGAAGTAGATTTGCAGCATTTGTGGCGAACCAATACACAGAAGTTGCACCATCTGCTCTGGACTTTCACTTGATTGTCTTGGGCCCAAGACGTAAGGGCGCTCACAGGCATAAGTCGTGCGCGGTTAAACCTGACAAAATGATGGGGTAAAAAAAGAACCGCAGCATACCGCAGCACCCATCTGCAATCTTCCTTCAGACAAACCGGTTGCTTTAACATGGTATGAACGCCGGCATCGTGGTTCTACAGCTGGACGCACGCACTGGACGCGGTTTCAGGTGGATTTCCCTTCCGTTCGGTCGCCAAACGAGCCAGAGACACCAGGCCGGTCCTCAGATCAACGCCGGCACGTCTACTTCTATGCCATTTGAGATAATAAGGTTCAGGATTCTGTAACAACGTATCAAAAATTGTGAGATTCTGATTTGAAAAGCACATTGAAGATTGTCAAAATTGCATCAGAACTGCGAGCTCCTTGTCGATGTTCAACAGTTGGGCGTAAAAGTTACTTGTTTCAAGCTGCGCAACCCTGAGTTGGCAATGTTTAGCTCAACCATGCAAACCAAACCCTTTGCTTTTGGGGATCGTCACACTGAGACGTCCTCTAGGCAAGCATTCGACACCTGGATTCAATGGAATCCACGAGAAGGGCATCTGAAGGCCCGGACTCTTTCCATCCTCACGGGCAAGGAAGCCAGCCACCGCAGCAGTGGAGAGCAAGTAAGTGGTCTTCACCTCAGGAGAACAAACAAGTTCCTCTGACTCCTTGGAATGAAATAGGTTTGGTGAGTCCCTGTCCCCAGTGGATTTCTGTCTATCATCTCCAACATCTTTATTCCTCGACTCTGTTACTTTCAGGATAGGCTCTTTGCCGCCGTTGCACCCTTCACTGACACCTATCATGGTTTCAAAGGGAGAATGGCTGCAAAGACTGTGAAAAAGCCAAATCACTGAATCCACTGACCCCGCTGATCGTCTGTTACAGCCTGTACTGGAATCAGTGGACCCTCCTGAAAATGCCACTTTCTTGAAATACTATCCTGCGAAGTGCTGCGCTGTGTCGTCAAGAGGCAGTAACAAAGCAACATGCTCCATCTAAACCATCTACGGATTTACTGCAACCGCAAAAGCCACAGCAGTTTCTTGAAATAGATGGCATACTTGCTCCATGCTTCGTCTGTTTGTGGGCGAAGCCACGGTGGAAAGGCAGTAGAACGAAGTGATGCCATGATGCCATTGATGGTGCTGTGGGACAACGGGCCAACTTGACCGTAGCAGGATGCCAATATTCCATCTACCAGCAAATCACCTGATGTAGTCAAAGGCAACATGTAGCCATGCATATGTGTTCTGGCCACTGCGCTTACATTGCCTGTTCCATTGGCTCCAATGATGCGATCACCCACAAGAATTTCCTGTGCGGGAACCGCCACTCTCTTGTCGTCGGCTTCCACAAAGACCAAGTGATCAGAGGTGAGTCGGAGAGTGCCAGCTTCAGAGACAATCTCCACTCCCTCTCCAATCACCTGCAAGTCATGGTGCATCCATGCCACAACCTCTACATACGGATTGGAACCCACAGTAGCCAGCTTGTCTCCCACCTTGACCTGATACAACGGGAGAGTGCCTTTTCCTTGGACATTCACCAAGGAGTCCTTTGCAAAACAGCCACTACTTCCCGAATATCTCTCAGAACTGCCACCACTATAGCTCCTCTCTTGCTCGAGTTGTCGAATTCTGCCTTCAAGAGCTTGAATGCGCTGCGTCTGCGAACCGCTCTGCTGATCTTGGTAGCTCTTCTCTTGCTCAAGCTGTCGAACTCGATCCTGAAGCTCCTGACTGCGTCGCTTCTGCTCCAACTCTTTCTGCTGATTCTCTTCAAATTTCCGCTTGAGCTCCTCTCTCTTGGTCTCGGTCGGCATGGTGAAGCGAACTGGCAAGGTCTGCACCCAAGAGGTGATTTGATTCTCAAAGCCTTTCATCCCCAGAATGCTGGAGATGGCACTTAAGACTCTATCCTTGGTACTTTTGTCCTGCACATACCAAAAGACAGGAACATCAAAGTCCAGCTCTTCAAATCGACTGCGCAGCTCTCTTGGCAATTGGGACGTGTACAGGAAATGATACTCTGCACATTGTGTCAGCACAATGCCAAAGTGTTGCCAAAGGTTGGCACGGTTGGCATCATCAGCCAATGTGTGCAGCATTTCCAACATCGCATTCTGTGCTCCTTTGGTGATTCGAGGCACACAGGCATTGTGCACATAAAGGATTCCATCGAACCCCCCCCGCGACCTGACGTGATCAGCCACATCTTTCACAAAGGTTTCGTCACGACCCTCTGAATCGCCCAAACCTCCTGTGTCTGTGACCTCTATGGTCACGTCATGTCCGAAGAGTTTGCCACTTTCTGTCTGGCTTCTAGTGGTGCAAGACTTCAAGTCATGCCCTACTTGGAAGGCTTCTCTGCGGAGGATGGTATTCCCCAAGGTGCTTTTGCCTGCTCCAGTCTCACCGATCAACAACAAATGCTTGTGAGAAGCAACGCCAATACTGGTGACATAGCAAGGCGTTGAGGCGAGCAAAAGATTTTGGGATTCAACCACAGAGCCAAAGACTGAGCGATGGAACTTCAAACGAACTCTGTTTTCTATGCAAAGTGAGAATGGTGAAACATGTTGACCTTACTCAATTTCCACCTTTCTGCCTGTCTTCTGTAGATTCCCTTCAACCGTCTATGGGTTGCCTGAAACAACACCACGAAGCCAAGGATGTATTGTTCCCAACAGGCTCCGCTCCAACTATCATGAGGTGATGCCAGTTGTTTCCTGTCTCCATGCATCATCGGCTCCACCAATCGCATGGGTAGAACATCATTTTGCTACGGGCATTTGGTGAAGGCTACAAGCTGGGCCAACATGACAGTGTTATATGACCTAGTGTAATGTGAGGGGATCGTGGCACCACTCGAGACAAAGCTAAACTAGCCACTGTTCCATAAGATGTCAACCGCCCATTAATGAAAGGCACTAGCTGGTGGGATGACCATCATTCCACAAGTTTCAAAGAGACGACAACACGGCCATCATGACATATCCCTTGAACATAGTGCATGGAGGTGTGTGTACTAAAATGGTTGACACTAATGGTATACCATGGTCTTTTAGGTTCATGGCCACAAAGGCTTGCTTTCATCGCGTTGACGGGCGATCTTCCGACTCTTCGGCATCCCACATTGATGAGCTCATGCGGCCGCTCAAATAGCCGATGGGACCTTAGCTCAGAAACTCTGGAATTCTTTGACCACTGGGGTGGGTCAATTAAGAAAGCCAGCTGGAAGGTATACAATTGCAAAGTCGTTTTGTTTTACTCTGAAGCGTTCCACGCGTCATCCTGTGCTATTCTCCACGCTTCATTTGAAGAAAGCCAACTTTTCTGAGACACATCCATGTGCTTCGAAGAGTGGAATACTTGTTTGAGTTTATCTTAACTATGTAAATGACCAAGAAGAAAGCCACACACAAACATCACGCTCATACGATCAACTTAAAAGAACACTTGTTACTACTAGCTTCTTGTTACTACTAGTAAGGCACTTGCTCCTAGTAGCGATGCACTTGTTACTACTAGCCAACAAAATATATATTATACACATGTGCAACACATTACCGAAAAAGAATGTGGACCACCCTCTACTGCCCCACGGCTGCGAAGCGGACACCGACCTTCGGTTTTCCTGGTCGGCGTCCTCTAAGGCCCTTGCACTTCCTTTGGCATCCATGGGATGGACATCTTTGCAGAAAAGGAAGGACCAACTTGAGGAAACACAAAGAACACATAAAAAGGCCTGACCACAGAATTAAGGGAACAGTTGTGGGTTGTTCTCGGTCTGGTGAGGTCTGGTCGAGCCCCTATATACATGCCTGTGCAAGCGATGCCCAGATTTCTTTGCGATATCTGACTTGAAGGGCACGACGATATCTGCCCCACTTGGCTTTGAGCCTCAATGACTTCTGGATAGGAGAGACACATACCAATGATGAAATATCATGAAATTAATGAATCACCCCTTGAAGCACCTAGGACCTAGGTGCCCTTGGTCCCCTTGAGCTTTCCTTGTCCCCCTGACTGAAGAGCCAGAAGTCCAAAGATTCTGTGGACCTTCCCCAAAGCTCTCTATCAGGTCTACCCACTCACTCGATCATTCTCTACGGACTCTACCATACTCTGCGAGCTCTAAGGTCTACCCGTGCGAATCACCGATCCGGTGAACATGCTGAACATCGAACACATACAGGGCCCCTAAAAACGCCCTACTTCTTGGGAGACAAACATCTATTCAGTATGAATATGCCTCTGGTCAAGAAACCAAACTGATGTTCTGATTTAATTAGGTTGGTTATTGGATGTTATTGGAGTTTGCTTTTTGCGCAGAAAACCGCTCAGCAAATCTTCCGAAGTAACTATGCACGATTCTGCTGAACAACCACTTGCAGTCTCCTTTTTCCAATCTCCGTCGTCTCAGGCATCCGCGCCTGGTGAAACTAGATCAAGGAGCCAATTTGCTTAGAGAAGCAGCAAGGAGCACAACAGTAGCATTCACATGTGGGGTGGATTTGCCAAAGATACTGCCGAAGATGGAGTTTTGAGATGTTTTGAGCGAAAGAGTTCGGTTCTGAGGATCTCTTAGAGGCAGTTTACCTGGCAAAAACTGCTCCAGCGACTTCCAGCTCCTGACTTCCGGCAGATTCTTGTCCGGACAAGCCTTCCTGCGCAATCGCCATCATTTTGTGTAGAAAGGATCATCTCCTGATCGAAGTAGCAACTGCAATCCATGATGTGACTAATGCTTCCAATCATTTTTTATGTGTTGTTTCGTGCCATGACATGACCATACCTGGAACTCACACGGGTCCGGGTAACCCCAATGATGATGCACATTGAATTCAAGCCTGCGATCCTCTCTGGGAGAAAATGTGAGCCACGCCCTTTGAAAGGGCGGCCGGTGAAACTGCATCCTTGATCAACTGATACCCTAGATCAATCCAGTAAAACGACCCAACGGTACTTCAAACCCTTTCGGGTGTTTGTGCGTGGAGGTGCTTTTGAGGTGAGGGTCAGGGTGCCATCTTCCACGTTCAAAACCAACAGGGTATGGGCCATCTTTCTGTCAGATTTCCTTGACTTGAATCTGAAGCTTGGAATCTGAGAGACAAGGAAGTAAAGAATTGCCCAGGAGATGCAACCTTGCAACTTCATTGGGAGACAAGGCTTTCCGTTCCATGTTCACGTCCAAGCACTACCTTTGTTTGCAGGGCTCTCCGGTCTTTCCAGTCCCTCTTTTCTTGATCCTTGTCGCTCAGGCAAGCCATGTTCATTCCCTTTTCAGATCTTTCAGATTTGGATATATAGGCCCCTCGAAAGTTGGTGGGTGGAAGGGTTTGCAGGGATCTTCATGGGGATGGTCTGCTTTGGCCCTTTTTGGGGGATTGATCTTCATGGGCAGGCTGATCTTTCAGGATGCGACCTGCGATCGCCGATCACCCTGTGCACCCGTGTTTGTAGAGGCCAATCTTTCAGTCTCCGGTGCATGCTGCCACTGATGGATCCAGAAATCCACCAAACATCTGATTGACTAAAAACCCGTACATATCATCCGTTAAAGACTTACGCACAGCCAAGGAGCACTGCAACATCTTCTTGGAATCCATACAGTTTGCCCCTCCATTTTCAGCAAGATCTGGATTTAGCCTTCATTATCATCCTCAACTTCCTGGACTAACACTGGTGTTGTGTTCAATCATCATCAGCTTGTGCATTTTATAAAAGCATTGTAGCCGCTTGCACCACTTGAAGGCGTCCTTTCTTCAAGGTCTTTCTTCTCTAGCTTCTCTAGCACCTACTGGGCCCCCACCGGTGCCGGGCTTTGCTTCCTTGAGCCCCAAAAGGCCAAGTCTAAAAGTTCACCACGTCCGAATCGCGGGACGACACGCGATGTTGCCGTGGGGGATAGTCCTGCGCGAGACGCCAACGCCACGCGATCGACGAAGCAGATCGGACGACGACCCTGGAGTTGTATGTCGCACACGAAAGCCTGGTCCAAGACCAAAAGACTCATACTCTTACATACTCTTACTACGTACTGTAACCCAAAAGGCACGAAGGACATCGAAGAACCTTCAGGTAGTTCAGCTTGCGATATCATCAACCGAAGGGAGGGAGGTCACAAGAGTTATTCATCTTGCCTGTGGGTGCTCCCCAACATTGAGGGCCTTGACGATGCTCTTTTGCGATATCGACACAGGGCATATGCCAACTCAAACATCAGCCCTCGCCGACTCCCACTCCTCTGCCACAGTCATCACTTGAGGCCTTGCGACACTCTGACAGTTCTGCCAAAAGCAACTTACAAAATGGCAAAGTGATTTCATCACAGGCCGGACATGTCAATAGACACCGGCCCTTACTGGTCACCTCATTAACCCAATTCCACTTGCAAAGCTCAAAACCTGATTGTGATTGTGTTTGACATTCACCGAAGGCATGCGCAACCACCGACGACTTGCATTTGCCCGGAGCCAATCGGCCAACAATTCGCGGCCTCAAGGCTTGGTACAAGATCTCGCGAGCGTCCTACCCGAGTGGCGTCTGTTCCCCGCGAGCAGCATCCACCAAATCACAGGGGTCATAATTTTAGTAAAACGCGAGTGGCTGTCTGACATGATTGACATGTACAGTACATCCTTCCTTTGCGATGTTCAAGTGACATTCCAAACGCAGTGGCTCCAAACAAGGAGCCAGCTGGGGTCAATCGGATCTCCACATGTTCGACGGATCATGTCGGGCATTGAATTTTGGTCCCAGTTTGGCACTGGAACCAGTGCATTTGAAATACATACTTGCCGAGGCTCTTCACGCCACTAGTCCCTTTGACACCGAAGAACAGCAACACACACACACACACCAAAAACAACCACAACGGCAAACGACGCTGAGAACATGATACTCTGGGGCTTAGAGAAAACTAAGCCATGACAGGCATTCATTGCAAACTCTCCGACCACTTCACGTCTTTCACTACCACCCAGTCCTTCAAACTCCAAGAGAGCCTTTACACACCGAATAACGCATGACGTCGTCCAACGCAAATTCTCACATATGGTCTCACCCAGAACATGTTGACCCGGAGCTTTGGTCAACACCCATTGAGGGTGTTTCACGCAGGTACATGAATTTTGTTTCCTTGGAAATGGTCCTGACACTGACTCTAGGGGCGCTGAAAGTGAGTTTGCTGACTCTAGCTCCTGCTGATGAAGCTCATAGACTCCCTGCTGCCGTGACCTCACAAGAAGTGATTGTAAATTCAAGCACTTGCCGCTTGCACGTGTCACACAGGGCTTCGGGAACACCCTGCTGGTCGTATTGTTTGCACGAGGATACACATCTTTTGTTAAGCTGCCGTCTTTTCGTTTGAGGGTTCACTCTTGACACACCTTCGAAACGTCTATATTTACAACATCCGCATTGAAGGCCCACAGGGGCTGCCACGCAGCTCGCAGGGCGTCCGCCACTGGGCGTCCGGACGGCCGGGCTCCGGCGGTGTCCGTTTCGGCCTCAGGCCTCACCTCCTGAGATCGAACGTGGCCCGCGGTGCCGCTGGGGCCGCTGGCGAAGTCCGGTCCGCTCTTTCGACACATGGAGGAAGCTCTGGTGGCTTAGTGACTTAGTGAATGATTCATAACATAATACAACTTGTAGGTTCAACTTTTGGACAAACTGCTCGCAACTCTCAAGATCTCTTGCTTTTGCAAAGGATCATGGCCCAATGAGACCGCCGACGAAAGGGGCAGGTTCCCATTTTAAACATATGTGTGACACATGCACTTAGGAGAGATCCGTTCCAACTGCTCAATGCGCAATTGTAATCTTCTGAACTCTCTGTGCAACACATCTACGTTGATCATTCGCTGCATAAACACATTGTTTGACCTATGTAATTGCATGTTGTATATTATACATATAACACGCATTCAAGACCCGTCAGCTTCAGAACCTAACAATATTGTGTTGCCCAGCAGCTGTGCGCTGCGCGCTCCCTCTCTCTCTACATACTACATACTATCATGTACTGGACCCGTATGCGGTGTGTTGTAAAATCAAGGTACAGTACTCCATGTTTTATAGGTCTTTGACATAATCCTCGACAGGAGCGATTGGCACTATATACTTATACGTCGGCAACCCTCTGTCCGAGCTAATTGTAGACCAATACCGAATGGCTAAACGCACCAGAAAATCCGAAAAGCAATGCCATACATGTTACATGGCCCCAAAAAGAAGCACGTGGACACACGTGGTTGGAAAAATACATCGAAACATCAACTGAATCTACATAACAATAAACACACAAACAAACACATATGAATTTAATAACACATACATGTAAACACATATTAAACAGCACAAACATACTTACATATATATATATAATACGTGATTATTACTATGGTTATCTATGATCAATGATTACTAATTTATGTACTGTATGTTAGGCCAAACACCCTGGCCCGCAAGCCCCAATTCGCTCCTAGTCGTTGACCAGTCAAAGTGGAGATGTCCGAAATATGTTTGTTCAGCCACTGGTCACAAAACCATCGCTGCGCTTTTTTCCAATCTAACTCATGGATCGCACCTGCAACATGGATCGCACGTTCATGAAATTGCTCTAGTAGCAAGAAGCTACTAGGTGGAGGCCATCGCTACTAGTAGCGAGCCTCACTATCCTCACCACCGGGCATCACCGGACGGCCCAATGGCGCTCTCTCCTTTGCCACGCCCTCAGTGGCGATCAGCAAGGAGCTCCCTGAGCTCCGCTCGAAGACCACCTGCGAAAGGGTCAGGCGCTCAAACCGGAGTGGTACAATGAACGTGAAAGAATTAAGGTCTACCAGGTCTTTGTTCCTGAACAGCAACAAACAAAAACACGTACTGTACTAATATTTCCTCTTGGTAACGGTTGTCCTCTGTCAAACACCATGGATGGAGTGCCAAAGAGAGGTTTGCAAGATCTTGTTGTTCCTCTGGGAAGATATGGGAATTCAGCAGGGATTGTAGCAGTTGCCCTCGTAGTCTTTTTTCTTGACAAAATTGCATCCTAGACCCGTCACACAAAGTTCAAATGGGATTCAAGAGTCTTCCTAAGTCCTAAGCCTCTGGGAACATGCCAAATCAAAAATAATTAGCTCTCCCAACCCAGAGCTCCTTCCCACACCTGCGGCCCTTTTTTACGTGCTTTCATTCTTGATGCTCGTCCCTAAGATGGGTGGCGTCATTGGCGCCGGCCCGGCTGGCGCACCAGGCCGACCCGGAGGGGTGGGCGGTGGCAGCCCCGGCGTGCCGGGGCGCACGGGCGGCGTGGGGGGCGGCACACCGGCCGGGGTGCCCGGAGGCATCCCGGCTGGGGTCCGACTACCATCCTGCTTCACAGGAGTTGGAGGCCTTGGTACATGAATTGAAGGACTTTTGGCAAAGGCTGAGAGGGAAACTCAAAGGATCAAATGGCAATGACTGGTGCACGACACAAGATCATATTCATCGCCTTCTTGATCTGGTGCTGGTGCAAATGTTTTCTAAAACTTTCTGTGTTGCGACTCTTGGTACGCAAGAGTGTGACTTGACTAAGTGTTGTTGGTTGCTACACTTGAGGGCAAACAAGAAGCTACCAGGCCGGAGAGGAAGAGTATCAAACCATATCAAATCCATTGATTTCGGTTCCCCCCACGTGTGAAACCCTTTTGAAAGATTGATCGGCACATATCTCTGCATTCAACCCGCCCAAACTCCCGGTCTCAGACTCCCGACGGGCCGTAGGGCGTCCGCGATGCCTCCAGAAGATTAAACTTAACCATCTCCAAATCGCCAAATAGAGTGTATCTCTGATCTCTCTTAGAGATGGGCGGTGCCTAGATGCAGATGGGGAGATCTATATCTATATATATATATCTGGGAAAAATGGACAAGGAGAAGAGGAACTTTCTTCCCTTGAAGAGGGTTCTCACCAGTTTGGAAAGATCATTTTTTGTTGAAACATAGATTCAGAACATGGCTCTTTCCGGGTCCACTAAGGGAATGGATCGCCGGTCCAGAGTGATCCCCCGAATAAATCCCCTCGGAAGAAAGGTGAATCCATGTGAATCCCAGGAAATCGAGATCGCGACACATGTCGGGGATCAGATTTTCGTGGAAATGATGCGCCTTTGTTGTGTGGTTTCCTGGTCTCACATATATAATCAGGCTGATCACCATGTCATATGATGTCCAATATGTCCTATCAAGGGGTACGTATCCTTAAAGATCTCCACTGGGTCTGCGACTCCAGGCAAAGGTGTGCTTGGCCTCAGGTGTCCCACGCTCTTCAGGACAGAAAGATCTTCTTCCTCTTCTAAAACCACGTTTTGGAACCCTGAAGCTACCTGCCGAGAAATTTAAAGAAACGGTTTTCCCATGTTTTCCCTACAATGACAATATAAATGTTCCCTTCTGCAGTGGATGGATAATTTTCAGCATTTGAAGGCCCAAGTCTGAGGCCCAAACAAATTGGCGTTCCCTGCAGGTGTGGGAGGAGGTTGCCTACAGAGGGCGCTGGATTTGGTAACCGCTGCCCAGAATTGTGAACACATGGTCGGTGCTTTGGAGTGTAAGTGAGAGAAACAACTATATATATATATATATGCATATAGCTTACATACTTCACTAGCCTCAATGGTTCATTGCCCTTTTGCCAAGCAACCTGCTCCTGGCCAAATATATATATATATCTCCAACTGTTAAAACTCTACTCTAGCACTAAAACTTTCAGTGGAAACCCCATATTTCAGGATGTTCCAAGTCAACACAGGGTTGTCCGGAAGAGGTGTCCGACATGGCGAACACTGAGGACGGCGCCATTGTGGGGTGTTTGTCTCCATCTCGTTACCAGGAGTCATCACCCTCAGCATGACATTTGCTGGTTCTGCGTGCCATCTATCAGGGAAGAGTCAATCAGGGTTCATGCTGACAATAGACATCCTGACATCTTCCAGTTCTCAGTGCCACATCAGTTTTTCATCTACTTGCTGTATGTGGAGGTTCTCTCACCCTAGCTTCTTCGTGACTGACAGAGCACTGATAGTAATGAGTATTGGTGTTGGAATAACTAGAAAACATCTTTTTCGCTGAGGTTGTTTTTCTGTTTTGTTCAGGTTGGTTTGTTGATTGAGCTTTGTACAGCTCGGCAATCTTTTTCAAGACCCGGCCCCTGTTTAACATAGTACACAACCCTGTAGGAAGAGAGTTACGACGACTACTACTACTACTCCTACTACTCCTACTCCTACTCCTACTACTACTACTACTACTACTACTACTACTTCCTACTACTTCCTAGTACTAAGTGCACACTAACTACATTTATACTTTGCTCTTGGTGAGAAGTCCTTGAAGGCATGTTTCAAAAGAATCCTTGGCTTCTTGGGTGAGTTCCATGTCGAAAGCACCTGATCTGAACTGGCGGTATTTCCTCATTGTCTGGTCTCCCCTCTGCTCATTGTGTCAGTGCTGACCTGCCAGAATGGACAATTGAAGAAGTTTCCACCTATGCAAACCGCCTTCTACAAATGAGAACACAAGCCGGCCATTGGACCAAACTTATCTGTCTTTTCTTGTCGTTCCAAAGGTGGAAGGGCGCCAGTTTCTCAACGTCGCTGTTCATTGAATATATTGTTTCCGTCTGCACGACTGTTCCTTGTGCACTGTCCGGTTTCGTGAACTTTCCCCGATTCGTTGGCAGAATGTTGCACTGGCGGTGGTGGAGGGCTTCTCGATCTAACGACATTTCGTCAATGGAATCGCAATGACCATGAAATACTTGTGACTCAGAAGATCTCATAACAGCTGCCATATTACAGCACCTACTGTACCAATTCCTTGCACCAGTCAGCCGCGCTTCCCGGCCCAGCTTGCCAAGTGGGCGTGGGAGCCCGGTAGCCAGGTGTCACATTCCTGTGCGGTAGCGGTACATCGGCAGTTGTGTTTAAAGGAGCGAAAGGAGGTCCAAAACAACAACTCTTGTTTTCATCTTCCCTAAGACTCCTTGGGCCCTCTGCGACAGGAGTCGGACCCCACACCCAAACAGGAATGACGCGCTTCTGCATGTTCCAGACTCACGCGGAAACAGCTGCGCCAGGCGAGCGCGCTTGGCTTCGCGTTCTGAGTCCCGAGCCCTCCAGGTGTTCCCGGGTTGAGGCCTTAAATGGTTGAAGGTCTGGTGTAAAAATGATGACACAAACAAAAAGGAGGCTGTCATCATCTTGGCTTCATTTTTAGGTGTCGTGTATGGATCCCTGGAAACTTGCAATTTTGATCAATGTTGCAAGTGTTATAGCACATTGACTAATTATAGAAAAAGGAGGTAGCAACATTGGGGGCATCTGGCATGAGACAGCTTGAGATTTCTTTTCACTTCTTCGCTATGTTGAACCATCTTCGCCCGCCACTCGCGACCCACCCGCGCCAACCAGTGAACCTCGGCCACCCGCGCCCGGCGTCATGGAGGCTCCCAGGCCCGGAGTCATGGCCTCACCACGTGGTGCCGGGTGGGTGGTGCATGACCGTGGGCACTGTTCGGCCAAACATCGACCAGTCAGTTCAGAGGTTCCGTCAGCACTTGTTTCTAATAGCTTCTTGTTTCTACTAGTAAGGCACTTGTTACTACTAGCGATGCACCTGTTACTAGTAGCTTCCTGTTACTTAAGATGTTAGGGACCAGGTTCGGCCGTTTTTGTGTCTCGTGAAGTCTCGCGTGAAGTCTGTTCTGGAGTGGACTTGGTCGATGAACTCGTGTGGCGGAAAACACCAACCTGCGAGGACACGTACCCAACTTCAGTGACTGGACTGATTCCCCCTGTCTTGAGAAATCTCTCAAAAGCCTGAGTTCCCCAGCTTGATATCAGTTTCATTTAAAGCATCCGTCCGTTGTTTGCAGTAGATTCACCTAATCAGTAAGCCCTAGGAACCGAACCGCGAACCGCGAACCGAACCGGAAAGGTACCAGCTTCAATGGAACCGACACGAACCGAACCGGACTGAAAAGCAGTTTCTGTCAAACCGAACCGAGCCGAACCGTTTGTTTTTGCCTCAAGGAACCGTTACGAACCGCAATGCTATCTATCTATATTTGGTTGGAACATTCTGCTTCGATTATTGTGTGTGTGTGTTTAGCTTCTGTGTTTGCAAACATTCACAGGCCACCTTTTCAAGCACAGCGTTTCTCGTCAGGTGTCACAACCAAGCTTTCCAAGCGAGGATTTCACAGCTTGAAACCATGACGACAGGAAGGTTTCTTTCTGAAAGTATCTAGATTTTGAGGAATCGATGATCGGAATGTCAATTCATTGCTGTACTCAGGCAACGCACAATAAAACCTGTCTAAAAATGATTTTTGCCATGTGAAAATCATTTTCAATCATGTATTTAATATTACATTCAGCGGTCCACCAAAAATGAATTTTGTTGCCTAGAAATCGTTTTTGGGGTCCCAATGTACCTTGCAGCTTTTACAGTTTGCATTCAGAAATCTGTATGATGGGCGAAGCATGGTGCATTCAATCGTATCGGCTTTTTGGGAACCGGGGTCATGGTTTCATTTTGCGGCCAATCTTCCCGTCACCCCAAATTTTAAATTGGCACGACCAAAAATCAGATTGGCCGCGTTGCGCGGTTGCAAACGGTTTCGACCAGTCCAAACATGATTTCGAAGTGGCAATCGTCCACACTATGCCAAAAACGATTTTCAGAAACCGAAAATCACTTTCAGGTCGTTTTTGAATTCCCAGAGGATCCAAACAAGCTTCGGGGCGTCAGGAGCTCTTGGGACCATTGACTTCCAAACCTGAGGGCCCATAAGGATTCGACCCTTCGTCATGAGACCCATGAGAGCCCAAGCCTTTGGCACAATCTTATCCTTTTTTCATTATCTCGCAACGTGTCGCATACAACGGCGAATCTCCATGCCAAGCTTGACTTTGTAGCGCTGCAACACACGTTTGCTTACCGTGCTTCTGTGACAAGCCCTTGCGATCCTGGCAATCACACCAACGAAGCCCTCCGCTGTCAACAATGTATAATACCGGCAGTTGACCCGTGTAGATCGAACAGTAAACAACACGTGAAGAAAATAATGACTCTTCGGAGCCAATGGCCATAGGCACCTGCCTGGTACATTCCCAACAATGCTTGCTGACAACGCTCGTAGGCGTGTGTAGGAAAGCAAATGTAAATGACCAGCCCTGAAGATTTCTTCGGCCTGGTCCGTCGTCAAGACCATCGGATGCTTGCCAATGAGCTCCAAAAAAGTTCGATAAGATCTAGCAGTTACTGCTACCAAGCGATCAGTGTCAGATGCCCCCTCTCTCTGAGCAAACTGCTCAGCAACTTCTGCCAACCAGAAGGATACACGCTTGCCTGCTACTCCCTTTGCTTGAAGCGATGGATAGTCTTGACGGGAGTGACGACCTACTCTGGAGCATGTAAATCGAGCTTGTGTTGAAACAATTTTGTGTTGTGATTTCCATGCTCCAAACTGCCGGAATGCTTCGTTCAAGCGCACCTGTAGCAAATGGGGATAGCGTCCTCGCACCCATTGACCAAAGACGCCGTTCTCACATAAAAAACATAGGATCGAACCTTGATTGACTTTAACAGTTTCACCGGAGCCCACTATCACATAAGTTCCCATTAATTTCAATTAATTGTTTGGATCCTTTGGTGTAGTGTGGGGTGTTAAATCAATAAAACATGATTGCATGTGTCATGCATAGATGCAACAAAAACTACTATATAGATGACAAGTTTCCATTGAGAAGACGACCGGTGCCCAAGAGCTGGCCGTGCAAGACATCGTGCATAAACCTGTGTAAGTGGGCCCCTGGAATATCGAAGGTCACCGATCCTGCGAACAGCATTGTATGGTTGAGTCTTCTACGATGCCATGAAAGTATACACAACCACACATGAACACAAAAATGTACATAATAACCAGGTCGCGTTCTTCAGGACTCGTTGCCCGGATGTACTCTGCGTGGCTTATCAAAGTGTTACGATGCTCAGCATTTTCTCTACAATCTCCCAGTGTCATAGAAACATTGGCACCACTCTTGGTACACTTGCACAATGAACAAAAATCATTGCTGTTGTATGGAAAGAGGTTGTGTTTTTGCATCATATACTTGAGATCACCCTGGTTCGAGCTGAACATGAATGTAAAGCGGGACGACCAAGGGAATCGATTGTTGACATCAACCATGAACTTGATTCGTGCACAAACAGCAGTCATAATGTCCCTGTAGGTGTAGTCGCTAGCAACGTATTCGCTGTAAGCTGTCAGCAACATATATCTCATGAGTGGTGACCGATTGTAGCAAAAATCGCTGGTCCACCCTAGGACCATGATACTCCCAACCTCAGTCCCCTTGTATGTAGCCACTTCATCTGCATACAATGACATTGGAATCAATCCTGTCCTGCGAAGATGAGCTGACGGGTGCACTTGAAACCATTCCGAAGTGGAATACACGTGTTCCCAATAACGTTCCACATCCGATCTCGACATGTCACCAAAGAAGAACCATTCAAAGACACGTTCTCCCAACTTCCATATGGCCATGGCCAGCTGATCTGGCATGAGGACCGGAATCTTGGTTCGCACTATCTTGCTCTCCTTGTGGTCCCACATTCTAACATCCACCTCTTCAAACTCCATGTGTAGTCCCATGGTTCTGGTCAGTAATACATGGAGGTCACGCTCAGCATTGTTCGGCAATGCACCATTTGCCGCAATGTTGGCAAGTCGACGAAGCATGTGGTCATTGGGAACATAGGCACCAAGACTTGTACATAGTTTGATTGCATCATTGGAAAGCTGTTGTACCTTGTATTGTAGATCTCTTCGTGCAGAATCCTTTTGTTACATATGCATGTAAGACATGAAACAAAGACAAAATATGAACGTGTTCACAAACATAGAACAAGAATCTTTGATGGCAGAACATTTGCCAGCCGTAAAATCGTCAATCAGGGTGGTCCAAAGTGCATCGCTGTCACTCTGACCACTGTTGGTCAATCGTCTCGCAGAATCTGAGGGACGAAGATTGGCATTGGCATCAACCTGCACAAGATCGAGGCATGGCCAGACTTTGATACAACAGGGTTGCTTCCAGTACATGTGGGAGGGGTTGCAAGAGTTTTGATTTGTACTATAGACTCACCCATAATGTACAAACCTTTGTTCTATATATAGATACTCTCCTCAACTTCATTTACATGTCCACCTTGCCTCACCCCCACATGTTGCAGAGCTCGGCTTCGTGCCTGCATGTCAAAAAAATAAGAGCACACTACTCTAAGGTTTACATGTATCACACTCCGTGTGCACAAAGACGGATGTAAAGCACATACACTGCGGTTGTGCTTGTCTCTTGCACATTTCTAGCATCCATCGCATTGTTTTGGCTAGCACGTTGGGAGTTCCAACATGCATCAATACATATCCCCTTTGCGTGAGCAGCTTGTGCAGATAAGACACACTCATCAAAACCTTTGCAATTAAAACATTGCTGTCGTACTACATGCACAAGCGCCCGCCACACCCCAACATGAGACCACTCTACGTGAATTGCTCTAAAGGTCGGATCCGCAAACACTCCGACGATAGCTACGCATCGTCGTCTTCCTCATTCTCAAGGTCCTTTGCCTTCTTCCCCTTCTTGGCACGTTTTTTTGATGCTGGTTTCAGCACCTGTGCCGCAATATCAGCGTCCTCTTTGTACATGTGCAACCGCTGTACAGCCAAATTGACCGCTGCAGTTGTCTGTTCAATTGCCGCATCATTCATAGTCTCCGCGTCCTTGCCACCAGATCATATATCAAGAACTTCAACCATGATTGAAAAGTGCTAGCTTTAGAATTCTCTATGTTGTGTACGATATATGTTTAGTTTTGATAGTTCTTCTTGTGACGTCCTGCTTCGCCAAGTCCACGATTTGGTGGTAAGACGTCTCCAGCTCGCTCGCATGTTGTCCCAATGTGTTTCCTGATGCCAAGTAGGTAGCTGGTAACATCTGATAACCCAAAACAACGCGAAGGTGCGTGTCATAGTGTAGAAATACATCGTGCATGCAAAAACTTAATTCATATGAGTTTCTCAACACCTCTTGGTGTTTCAAGTGTTGCATACGGATGGGAAAGATCTTGCAATCAGTCAAAGCCGATGTGAGCTTTGGGAGCAGCCATTCACAAGCTGCAACTGGAGCAGTCGGCATTGGCCTGAGTAAAGAAGTATATCTATTAACCCCATATATGACTTAAAGTTTCATTCACAAACATGCACTGAAATTTAGCTCAAAAACGCGTCTTTCTTTCGAGGTTTCTTTTCCTCCTCAACTTCTTGTGCTTCCTCTTCCCCCTCCGTGCCCTTGCCCTTTCTGGTCTTTGGCTTCGGCTTCGGCTTTGCGTCCGGGATCCTTCCACCAGAAGGAGGCACACGTGCGACAGGCTGTCCTCCATCAGGCAAGGCTGTGAG